TTTTGATAGACTGTAATTTTCAACATTTCGTAACGCTATTTTAGAACCAAAATAAGGCCTTTCACTCTTCCCCGACGCCTATTCAAGAGATTGTACGGTGTATTGTTTGTTTTGTGCATGTGTTGTGGACAAAAAATGACCACGCCCATTTAGTGATTGCAATATGTACGTAATAGAAACTGCACCCCGAACTTGAGCTTTTGATCCCAATTTTTAAATTGATACATTGTAATATAAACCGCGGTTTATAATAGGACTTTAACGGTAGTCTATAGCGTAAAACACTAACATGTAATGTTCTTTCATCAGGGACTTTTTGACCTAATTGGTACTCACTGGTCACATTAGTGAGGTTTTCTTTTTATCTAGATCACTGTACATTTAAAGCCAAGAGGCTGTCACCTGTGCATGTGCAAGTGTTGAGTCATAAATGATGATAACAACACATGCTAAAATGTAAAGGCTTATGGTTAGGCACTCATTTGTAAACAGCGACATGCTATGGTGGCCTACCACATGTCTATGTGACGACTCTACACTTTAATTTATTATTCAACTTTCAAAGGTGTTCCCTTTTAGCATGGTGATAATTCTATTACTCCTCCATGCTATAGACAGGATGTGTTCTAATGCAGTAGGGGATTGCTACAAAATGATCTGTGTCTTCCTTACATTTCACCTGCTTATTAAGAACAAGCTGTAGATTGGAATCCTCGCTCACAGAGTCAATTTAATAAATAAGTAAATTTTTTCATCATAAAAATATGGTCACGCAGTCCCACACCTAGAATATACTGTAAATTATTCAACTGTTTAATTTTTGCTGCTACAAAAATGTAAGAATTATAATGATTATCATGAATTTTCACTGCAATTTGAAGATTTTATCGCATTTTTTGAAGACATAATGTCACTTGCTCTGCGTCTTCGGACAATAGAAAAATGTTCACACCTACAGAATTTTGCGTTTTTCACTTGCTCATAAAATTCATGGAAATTTGTTTCTTATAAACCGGTTAACAAAAAAATTTGCTACCAACTGTCAGAAGATAGCAGTGGCATTTAAGTTTGGGAAGAATAATTGTCTAATATTTTGGTTACACTTCATTTATGTTTAGATGAAAGATGAAGTTACCGAAAATTTCATCAAATATCAGAAAATAGCGCGAGACGCCCGTGATACAAAAGCTAAATATGATGAGGCAGTGAGTAAAGGTAAGAATAATTTGTCTTTGTAGTTAGTGACATGTACTTAAAAAGAAATGGAATGCATTTTATATCAAAAGTGAAAATAAAGTTATCATCCATAATGAATAGTGAAATTTATCTTTGCTGATATGGAAATATTATGCAATCTGATTAGAAATATTTAATGTCATATTTGTCTCTGATAGGAGTGCACAGAAACCAAAAATTTATTGTATACTGGATTATTAGGTTATGGCTTAAATGCATTTTAACTATTAACTACTGTCATATATAATATAATTTATTGACAACTCAATCAACAAAGTTAACCATGTTCACTTCTTTTAATACTGTAAAATCTGTATTAGAAGCCACACAATCAAATCACAATTTCTCATATGTGTAGATGCTCTAATTGAAACCGCATCCCCTCTGTTGTATTGTACCATTTTAATAAAAACGCGACTTTTAATACAGATTTTATAGTACATGCTATGTCAAATATTGTGAGGTTATTATGAGAATACTGCAAAGTATGCACAAAGGCAGTACAGTGTTTGTATCGACCAACACAGAGTGAGGGTCAATGCATTCCCTTACTGCCCTAATAGTAAGTTACATTCCCTTACTGAGTACAGGGTCTCAGTGACAAGATTCTTTTTTCATGATGTGCTAGAAACAAAGAACAGTGTATGAATGTGACATACCCTGCTAAATGCATGTAAATAAGAATGTCATTCAAACATGACCGTACACCATTTTACCGGCGAGTAAATTCTTTTGCCTTCAGTGTCAGATGCATAATAATCATGATTAGACATTCAGGATTTTGTAGACATTGATTTTGTAGGGGAACTTTGACCTGATGCATCACCACAAGTATGTTTTGCATACTAAAATCTTACCTTTTATATGCTGTTGTTTGAAGGCTTTCAACAAATAATAAAGACTATACAATTTTAATGTAATATAAGTTTATTACGAGAATACCTCAAAGTGTACATGAAGGCAGTAGAGCTGGAGTATCGACCGACTCGCAGCAGAGGTCAATGCACGGCGTGCTGTCTGAGTGCATACTTTGAGGTAGAACCTTATTATTATTCATCTTTTCCTTCCAATGATACACTATGGGAATGCCGAAATTCAAAATGTTTAGAACAGAATCAGCGAACTTCTTTGTGTGGAGTCCGGTCAAACTCTGGTGTGCAGCCATGTTTGTTTTTATTATTGTACAACGCTTATGCGCGTAATCGTTCCATATTTGGAATTTGCATTTCCTAATATGGTAGGATGAAAATCCCCTGTAAATACCGCAAAATTACGACACGTAACTCGCTGTGACAGATGTATAATAATTGTTTTTATCTATATAATAGGTAAAAGTGATAAAGATTTGATGAAGTTAAAAGACAAATACAGGAAGAATACAGTAAGGCTACATAAAGTACACAATGATTATGTTGTATCAATTCATACAGCACAAACACATCAAGAACATTACAAAGAAGTTGTATTACCAAGGTTACTTGATGCACACCAACAAGCTGAAGAAAGTTATGTATCTCAAGTGTAAGTTGATTTCAAAGGTTGTAACAATGATTGAAGTTTAGGCATATTTGGCAGTCCTTCTAGCGAGTGCTTGGGTGAGAGGGTAGGTCTCCATCTGCAATTCTCTTTTTTCCCTTTCTCAAAAAGGGCACAGTATCTGATGAGTCTTTTTTTAACAGCAGTTATTGTAGTGGACAGGCAGTATCTTTCATGGCAATGTCATACCCAAGATTAGTGGTCATCAAAAGTGAAGCAAATGTGAAGGTGTCATCTGAGCACTGCTACCTATAATCGGATAAGCTGACATCTGAGCAATTCTTTCTGGCAATTGGTGATAGTACTTTTGTCCATTATACCTACTGATTAAGTATCATGCTATTATATTTCTTGTATTGCTTTATACATGTATGCATTGTCAGTCTTTTGAGTTTCTGACAACAGGCATTTATGGTTTAATTTCTGTGTGTCAGTGAATTTGGACCTGTACCTCGGACCAATTCTTGAGGTACCGGTATATGCATGTTCAATGAGTTTATTATCTGATTGAAGATGACTGACTTATGTTTATTTTTTGATCAGGAAATGCACTAAAATGGACTTTTCCTTGGCACACTTAGGCCTATTTGTTTCAAACTTGATATGAAAAGTGGGTGTCTGATATATCATCAAATCCAGGATTCTTGCTGACATCATTATGGTTTTTGAAATGCATACCGTAACAATCTTGCACCAGTGTTATCTCATTTTTAAACTCATTGAAGTTCTGAAATGTTAACCTTGTGCCATTCATGGCTTGTGTTTCATGTAAACTTATTGTAGAAAATGAATTTTGATTGTTAATATTAAGCATTTTTTTTTGTTATGACAGTAAACAACTGCTAACTCACTATGCTGGCCTGACAAATACTAGTAATCTAGATTATCAGAATATGAATGAAAACTTGCTGCAGGGCATTAGAAATATTCAACCGACAGAGGAATATGTTGCGTTTATTGATGCCAACAAGTAAGTAGTAATATTAATAATATGATCTGAACACTCAATGGGGTTTTGTGGCGACGGTTTATTAACATGAGATGGTGAGAGTTTGTTCATAAATACGACATGACGTGAGGGCACTATTCATAAACACTAGATGATGATGTGAGGGGACTGTTCATAAACACTAGATGGTGATGTGAGAGCACTGTTCATAAACACTAAATTGTGATGTGAGAGCACTGTTCATAAACACTAGATAGTGATGTGAGGGCACTATTCATAAACACTAGATGATGATGTGAGAAGACTTCATAAACACTAGATGACGATGTGAGAGCACTGTTTATAAACACTAGATGACGATGTGAGGGCACTGTTCATAAACACTAGATGATGATGTGAGGGGACTGTTCATAAACACTAGATGGTGATGTGAGAGCACTGTTCATAAACACTAAATTGTGATGTGAGAGCACTGTTTATAAACACTAGATGGCGATGTGAGGGCACTGTTCATAAACACTAGATGGTGATGTGAGAGCACTGTTCATAAACACTAGATGGCGATGTGAGGACACTGTTCATAAACACTAGATGACTATGTGAGGGCACTGTTCATAAACACTAGATGACGATGTGAGGGCACTGTTCATAAACACTAGAAGGTGATGTGAGGGCACTGTTCTTAAACACAAGATGGTGATGTGAGGGCACTGTTCATAAACACAAGATGATGATGTGAGGGCACTGTTCATAAACACAAGATTGATGTGAGGGCACTGTTCATAAACACTAGATGATGATGTGAGGGCACTGTTCATAAACACTAGATGGTGATGTGAGGGCACTGTTCATAAATACTAGATGGCGATGTGAGGGCACTGTTCATAAATACTAGATGGCGATGTGAGGGCACTGTTCATAAATACTAGATGGCGATGTGAGGGCACTGTTCATAAACACAAGATGATGATGTGAGGGCACTGTTCATAAACACAAAATGATGATGTGAGGGCACTGTTCATAAACACAAGATGATGATGTGAGGGCACTGTTCATAAACACAAGATGATGATGTGAGGGCACTGTTCATAAACACTAGATGATGATGTGAGGGCACTGTTCATAAACACAAGATGATGATGTGAGGGCACTGTTCATAAACACTAGATGACGATTTGAGGGCACTTCATAAACACTAAATGGTGATGTGAGGGCACTGTTCATAAACACTAGATGGCGATGTGAGGGTACTGTTCATAAACAATAGATGACGATGTGAGGGCACTGTTCATAAACAGTAGATGGTGATGTGAGGGCACTGTTCATAAACAGTAGATGGTGATGTGAGGGCACTGTTCATAAACACTAGATGGCGATGTGAGGTCACTGTTCATAAACACAAGATGACGATGTGAGGGCACTGTTCATAAACACAAGATGATGATGTGAGGGCACTGTTCATAAACACTAGATGATGATGTGAGGTCACTGTTCATAAACACTAGATGACAATGTGAGGGCACTGTTCATAAACACTAGATGGCGATGTGAGGTCACTGTTCCTAAACACTAGATGACAATGTGAGGGCACTGTTCATAAACACTAGATGATGATGTGAGGGCACTGTTCATAAACAATAGATGACGATGTGAGGGCACTGTTCATAAACACAAGATGATGATGTGAGGGGACTGTTCATAAACACAAGATGATGATGTTGAGGGGACTGTTCATAAACACCAGATGATGATGTTGAGGGGACTGTTCATAAACACCAGATGATGATGTTGAGGGGACTGTTCATAAACACTAGATGATGATGTTGAGGGGACTGTTCATAAACACTATATGGTGATGTGAGGGCACTGTTCATAAACACAAGATGATGATGTGAGGGCACTGTTCATAAACACTAGATGATGATGTGAGGGCACTGTTCATAAACACAATATGAT